GCATTTTTTACTTAGTCTTTGGCCTGGTCAGAAATCAGCGTGAATTTCCATCTTACCTAATAGATGTCAACCCTAGAACCTACTTTAGGAGGCCAAAGACTTGTCACTGCCAACAACAAAGCTCGCAATATCCAATCTTTCCGTCTCAAGCCCGTGATCAGTCTTTCACCCTTGTAGCCCGAAATGAGACAAAATACCAGAAGACATTGGACGCAGCAGACTTTGCCAGACGTGAGAATTGTTCCTTCATAAGGCTTAATGGTGCCTTCCGGAAAACTTTTCTCAAGGCGGCCAAAAAAACTCTTAGACAACCCACTATGAGAGCCGAATTCAGTCTAATACTCGCGCTGATTTCAAACTGACATACAGAGAGAATTATGGGAAGTTATGAAAAACTTTTTTTTGGGGGGGGGGGGGGCGGTAATAGGTTAATAGCCAGCGAGAAACTCATCAAAGTCTATCTACTGTGGCCTATCAGGTACCAATTAAAGAAATAACTATGAAAAAACAACAACAACAACAAAAATGCTCCACAACAAGGCTCAGTCAGAGGGTATAGGAGAGATTTCTGTAGCCATGTTTTTGCAAATCCAGACAGATAAACATTAGTACAATATTTTCAGAGTGTGTACAGGAATGAGGATATATATGAGCTTGAAGGTGTACATATTGTCCACTTTGAAGTCGATATTTTTCAAGCAGTATTGGATATTGTAGTATATCAAATGTTAATAGTTAGCAAAGTTCCTGTAAACAGTGCTGTGCTTTAGCAGTTTATGCAACGTGTTACTCTGTTATAAATCCTTGTGGATACTGGACCTCAGGAACTTTAGCTGCCCTTGTTAGTTACCGGAAGACACTGCACAATGTGATGGGTGTGAAAAGACATATTGCCGGTCGATCTTCTTCAAAGTGTATCAGTGCAGCTGAGATAAACCTTATTAGTATATACTAAAACGGTGGATAGTGTTTTTCGCGCGCTCTGATTGGGCTACTAAATCAGTGAATATCCTACAATATTTACTGATTCATCTCCAGTTCCTCTGAGCGAGCGAAGCCAAACTCGCGTAAGTTTCGAGCAACATTCCTTCCCGGTTTGCTGCCGTAACAAACAAAGAAATTTCACAACTAATCAAGCAAGCTGTTCCCAAAATACACGAAGAAGGTGACGAAGTTTGGGGTGTAAGTTTTAACAGGTAAAGCTTTGTCTTTTTGACTTGAATTTATCGATAAAACCGGTGAAAAAGTGTTTTGTTTACAAATGCTAATTAAGCTTAAGACTTGCGTTACTTTATTTGGTTGACTTGTTCATACATAAGCTTAAAACTAAATTTAATAATCTTTTCTACAGAATGATTTTAAATACAAAAAGAATTCACAACTCCTTTTGAGGAAATTTCAAGAGCTAAACAAATGCCTTCAAAAGTTTAATTTGTCGGCAAGAAAAAGCGACGACCGCGGTCGTTCGGTCAGCGCGCACCAAAATCGTTGGCAGTGGTAAAAGAGTTAAAAATCACCATTTTTGTGCTCAATTATCTCACTGTTTTAGTATATACTAAAAGAATTATTCACCTCAGTGTCGCTGGCTAGTGGTGGGAATTTACCTCGCCGCTAACGCGGCCTCGGTAAATTCCTACCACTAGCCACCCTCACTTCGGTGAATAATTGTTATCTGTACGGGCTGTAAACACTGGTGTCCTTTGTTGCAATTTGGCTGAGAGCAAGTCTGTGTTGAAGATGTGCATTTCAAAACATTGTCATGAAGTGACAGGTATTTTGTTGTGGATTGGAACACACTGCATAGTCCGTGTGGTTCAGCAAAGAAGTAGTAAAGAGTAAAGGATTTATTTTCTCTGGTGGGATACGATGACAGTTGTTTAGCTGCAATGACGCATGTTATAAGTATCGTACGCGTAGTACGACCACGCCCAAATATACGCTCCCACAGCGTCTTGTTTTTATTGTTTTCCCTCCTCCTCCTTCTCCTCATTTTTGTTTTTCCGCCTCCTCCTCCTCCTTATTCTATTGTTTTCAATCCTTCGCCCACGACAGAGCTGAACAACTTCTGCGCATGTGGATAGACGGGAGAGGTCTGGGATCAAAACTAGTATAGTCTGCAAAAGGATTTCAAAACATCCTCACATTATGGCGATTTTTAGGGTGGATTCTGAATATTTAAGGCTCCTATTGAAACTAAAGGTAGATTATTTCATCCTTTATTTAATTCTCGTTTCTACCATTGTAATTTTTCTTCTACTTTTTTCTATGAACTATAGAAGACGCACGAACGAAGCGTCCCCGCTATAGTTGTATCGTTTGCAAAAGGATTTTCTAAACATCCTTACGATTTCTCAGGTGGATACTGAATATTTAAGGGTCCCATTTAAAGTAAAGGTAGATTATTTCATACTTTATTCAATTCTCGTTTCTACCTTTGTAAATTATTTCTTCTACTATTTTCTATGAACAAAACACGAACGAAGCCGAGAACAGTTCTTTCATTCGAATGTCTACATGTTCAAGCGTATTAAACAGAAATCAAAGACAGACTATCAACATGTTATCAGTTCTAAAAAATCGTCGGTATATCTCATATCAGTATCAGCATTAAAGGCACATTTTGATATCCAACTTTATTTTTCCTTGAATGATCGCCTTTAAGTTAGTTCTCTTGTTACGTCTCGCTAGGTTTCACTATAAAAACTGTGAGAACACAAAACAATCACTGAGATTTCGAATTCTCTTCTTTCTTGCAAACTTATTTCCCTTTATGACTCATTCTTAGTTCAGTTTACAAGAGCTATTATATATTTTTGTATATGACAACAGCCAAAATTAATTTTGAAAAGAGTAAATATTTAAGTAATACAATCGACGCCTGGGTTTACGTAACATTCCTTTCCATGAGTTTCACTTTTAACGTATTCACAGAATTTCTCCTTGGTTGGCGTTCCCAAATATTTGTTTGAGATGGTCGAAGATGGTCTCAGTTGACTGATTTCAATTCGCACGTGCTTCGCGCTAAGCTTGGCAAAGAAGAGGTAAACAAGTGATATAACAGACATGCGTAGTACGTTATTCAGCCCTGTCTTCGCCCACTCGTTTCACGTTTATTTTTTCTTCACGAGATTCTATATAAGACTGCCAACCGCCGCCATATTTCTATTGTTTTTCCTAAACGAGACATTGCTACAAAATGAACTAAATGAACTGATAGTCTTTTATAGAATCTCGTGGAGAAAAAAAAACATGAAACGAGTGGGCGAAGGATAGAAAACAATAGAATGAGGAGCAGGAGGAGGGAAAACAACAGAAATGAGGAGGAGGAGGAGGAGGAGGAGAAGGAGAAGGAAGAGGGAAAACAATAGAAATGCGGAGGAGGAGGAGGAGGGAAAACAACAGAAATAAGGAAGAGGAGAAGGAGGGAAAACAATAGAAATGAGGAGGAGGAGGAAGAGGAGGGAAAAAAATAGAAATGAGGAGGAGGAGGAGGGAAAAATAGAAATGAGGAGGAGGAGGAGGAGGAAGAGGAGGGAAAAAAATAGAAATGAGGAGGAGGAGGGAAAACAATAGAAATGAGGAAGAGGAGGAGGAGGAGGAGGAGGAGGGAAAAATAGAAATGAGGAGGAGGGAAAACAATAGAAATGAGGAGGAGGAGGAAGAGGAGGGAAAAAAATAGAAATGAGGAGGAGGACGGAAGACAATAGAAATGAGGAAGAGGAGGAGGAGGAGGAAGAAGAGGGAAAACGATAGAAATGAGGAAGAGGAGGAGGAGGAGGACGAGGGAAAACAATAAAAATGAGGAGGAGGAGGGAAAATGATAGAAATGAGGAGGATGGGTAAGTAAAACATTGTGCGCAGTGTAAGAAAAAGGATGGCTTGCCTTCTTTGACTATTTTAATAGAATCTTTAATCTGACCTTTTTTTGGCAATTATTTTAATTAAGGGTCATAAAGTTGATTTCTTGTGTCTTAAGAAACGTGTGTGGTTTTATTTCTAGCAATTATTAGTCGCGTGTTTCAATTGATCCTTGTTAAGTTATGAATTGTTTTTTTTGTGTGTGTTTTTATAATAATACGCCAAGATGCTCCCTTGGGGTTTTTACTCCAGAGCTAATTTGTATGCAACGGTGGACTTTTTGAACTCGCATAATTACCTTACTAAGATCGCGTAAAACGCTGAGACTTTAATAGTTTTTCATTTCATCGAGATAGGAAGGACAAAATGGTTTTGTAATAGTCACACAAAATTGAAATAGAGAGTTTCAGCTCCACTTTGCGAACATGTGCGTGTGTTTTGTTTATATATCCGAGTTTTAGCGCTAAATAAGAAGACGTAAACTAAATTGAAATAGACTTTTCTTTTTAGCGTGACTTTCTAGAAAGTTCGCCAGAGTTCATTAGTTTGTTTATTTTAGGATATAGTGTAAGCGTTTTCTAAAGCGGTATATTTCGTAATCTTTCTATAATTAGACTATTTGGAAAGTTCTAGAATCTTATTGTAAAAGTATATATAAGTAGGCGAGTCTAAGTTAAGTTTTAACTAGTTTTCACAAGCGAGGAGAGTTCGACGTTAGTCGTGTTTAGTCAAGTGTGACGAAAGCAGTGTTTATTCAAGTTGGCGGAGGCCGTGTAAGTTTATCAAGTTAAGCGAAGTCGGCGGAGGCCGTGTATGATTGAGTTACGTGCTGTTGTGGAATTTTACTTCGTGGAAACTACGTTCATTTTTGGAATAAATCTTCTTGTTGCTGTTCCGACAACCCTGCGTTCAGTTTGCTTTGCAAGCTACCCGTCCTCTAAAGGATTACCCGCGTAACACAGGGACTCGACCCTTATGCATATCAATGATTTACCTATACACCAACGAGGCTTAATTTTGCTGAAGCATGACTACTTATAGCCTAACTCTAGTTATGATTAGGTTTCGATGATTTGCTTTTCATTCGAAACAGTTATCCCAATACACGTACTCTGAATAAACGAAAAAAGCAGTTTCCTGGTTACCTTGACAAATGGATGAGTAAGAAGCTCTTTACAATTCGGACGCTCTGTAGGATTCCTAGAGAGACAAGATATCAATAAGTTGACTGTTTTCTGTAACCAACAACAACTACCAACCAGTTGGAGTGAACACACGCTCCCACTGTAAACTGAAATGAGGCGACTTTGAGCTTCAACTAGCAACTAGACTAGACTAGACTAAAAGATAAAGAAAGGTTGAGAGGGGAAGAGCTTCCACTTTTACAGTAACCGCGGAAGCAAGGCGCTATTTCTCTTTCATTCCCTTCTCCCTCGCCGACATTTTACTCCAACAAAATAACTCTCTAGATACGACAATACTAAAAAGTGCGTTGCCAAAAACGGTTCACCTAAAGACACTTGACGTTCTGTGTTTAATTTCTGCACCATTTCATTGCGGCCGCCCGAGAGGAGCCCACAATCATAGCGGACCTCCACGCACGCGCGAGCGGAGCGCCATTGCTAAGAAAATTTGGTTATAACGTCAGTGTAGGCCCGCCCGTACGCTCTTTAGGGTTAGGGGGTAAAAAAACTCAGTAGGGTAGGGAAGGGAGTCCCAGACATGTACGTTGCGATTCGTTTTTGGCGCAAAATATAACCATTTTATGAGTAACCAACGGAGTTGCTCGAGTAAAAATCTAGATTGAAGTTCCTCGTGTTCGACTTACGACAAAAGTTTCGGGAATAAATTTTAAAGCAGTATCGTGTTCTTGTACTACCGCCACAAAATGAAATACAACTGCTGCCAATTTTTTTTTTCTGTTTTTCAAAACTGAATAGGCCACTTGAGAGGTCACGTGACCAATGCTTCCTTTAAACAATAAGTTGGAATCTTGCCGATGCCAAAAATTGACGGAGCGCATAAAAATTATCTTACACCCGAAATTTGAGAGGAAACGCATTTAAGGGAGATATTTTATGGTAGTTTAATTGATTTTTCAACTAGTAGTAAGAGTTGTATTGGCCACCATGTTGGAGGGCAGACTCTTGCCCTCCAACATCGCGGCGAAAACTACTTTTTGCCTGTATCTTGTTAAACGTTAAATAGTTACGCTCAGAAGGCTGAAAACGTTACCACATCATCTTTTCAACAATTTCCTTGAAGTTTAAGTGCAAAATTTCTATTCGGAGAGAGGTAATTCATAGTTATAAAAGTCATATTTTGGTCACGTAACCAGCTACGAACTTACTCATTTTAAGAGAATGGTGCGGGTTTGGAAAACTAAATCACTATTATTTTGATTTGACCCACTAGTCGTTGATGATGTCACATGACCTCTTACTGCAAATGGCCTACTGTTTATCTGGTCTTTCTTCGAGGAAAGTGTCGCAAAGGTATGCAGCCTCTTACAGCGGACTACAGAAAAAATCTTTTCACTTTTCAAATTTTTAGTCTTCGTGTTCTTCCAAAATGCGACAGCTGATTTTATTACAAAGTGCGATGGTCTGTTATTAAAAAGTGCGACAAGTGTTATTACAAAGTGAGACAGAACAACGTTTCAATCACGTAGAGTTATCCAAATATGGTTACATGCATGTGGGTACGGAAAAGACGTACATGGAGCTGTGGAGTTTTCTTGTACTTTGATTACAAAAGGGACAGAGAGGAGCAACACGCTAAGACTCTCTTACTGTTCTTTTACCGCTGAGTAGATTGCAGTACTGTTAAGGATCACTCATACTTTGTGGAGATATATTTAACTGTATCGCCATGTTTCCACTCAGACATTTTCTTGACCTGGGACTAGCACTGAAAACACGCAGAACGTGTACCATTTATTTCGTTGCACAGACTATTGAACGTTGGTTGTTTTATCATATTGGTTTCGAAGTTCCCTACTTCGATGCTATTTTTTATCCCTTCCGTAAATCTGACAACTAAACTTAACCTCAGAATCCTCCTATCCTTATCGCCAAACTCACTAACCTCATTAACCTTTGGGTATTTCTAGTATACCTCTTACTGTTAATGGAAATTACGCCTAGTTTCAACAGGGCAGTTTATCCGTTTAATCAGTTTTGAGCTAAAAGTAAAAACTAGCCAATACCTAGCCCAACCTATTGTCAATAACGCAATAACACTAACCAAGTCAATGCGGCGCGCACAAAGTCTCTTGCTTCTTCGGTGCTCTCTGGCAGTTCCTCCTGAACAACGAGGGGTTTACTGCCAATGCGAAACATGGCTGCCTGTGGTTCAAGATTCTTCAAAGGAGGGTCTCCTGTCAGCATTTCTACTACAGTACAGCCAACACTCCTAAAAGCAGAATATTTGACTTAGTAAAGCTTCTTCTTAATTACAACATCGATGTTTGCCATTGAATCCTGAAAACGATCCCCCACAATAACGACCCCAGAATTGATCCCTTCTGCCTGTCTGTCTGCGTACTTTCCTTCAAAGCTTCGCTTCAAATGCTTCTTTGCTTGTCATCAAGAAATGAATGCAGACAAAATGGACGGCGACGTCCTGACTCGAACTTTAGCGTTTAGTGTGCTCTTGTGTTGGACGTTTACCTGAATATATCTTACACTCAACGTCCAACGCACACGTCCAGCGCAAGAGAACTCAAAACGCAATTCGCCTTTTATGCTGTTGGCCTTTACTCGAATTTTCCTTAATTTGACATTTCTCCCTACAAAATCAGAAAATCTTTCAATGTAAAAATATTGCTTTTAAGTTTGGAATGCCTACCGTTTTGTGAGGGACAAATTTGCAAAGTATAAACTAAGGTCTGTCTCTTACTAACAACAATGTAAGATTTTGTGACTAAGTATATGCGAAAAAAAAAACAAACGAAAGACGAAATTTGAATAGAGGAAAAGATGATTTGGAGGGTATCCCCGGGGGGGGGGTACTGCCATATATGGGCTATATAGGTATGTGCCGCCTGTGAAGGGTATGGTTTTCAAGCAGTTTACTGTAGGATAGGGTATATAAATCAGAGCGCTTGGGTCTAGAATAGGGTGTCATTTTTTAGGAAACTGATCAGTTGGTTGAAGATTTTATCTAGACTACGTAAACAGCTACTCTAGGATAGGGGGATTTGGGGAGTTTACTCTAGTATAGGGTAGCAAAATTCAGCTGAACTAGCTCTAGTATAGGTTAAGGGTTCCAGGGTCCCAGCGGCACATCCCCACCCAGAAATTCCTAAAGTACCCCGGGAGGGTATCAAGTGGCAGTAACATTTGCTTGGAAAACTCGAGTCTTATCATCAGGACAAATGAGATCCGTAATCAGTCCGCGCTTATTTATCATTTTATGTGAACCTTGACTCATTCAGAAGCGGTTAGGGAAACAAAAAAAGAAATTGCTAGTAATTAGTTACTGAAACTCAACGACATCCAGCTAGTTGCAGTTCTGTTCTCGGAACATACCAGATGTCTGCATTTCGTCCGTATCCTTCTCCCCGTAGGATCTCCGGTGCCATCCAGAAAGTAGTACCAACAAAGGATTTCAGGTCTGTTTTAGTGCCAATTTTCTAGTTTATACAAAGACGAGAGAGAATACGAACATTCAACAAATAAAACATACAGTTATCACCTGTACGATGACCCAAATCGATCGAGCGAACCGACATTCAATCAGAGAAGTCAAAGAGACTGTGAGCCACACAACTCATAAGGATCTTGAAGGTCACCGACGTTAAAAGGAGAATTGATCAGGAAGTAGATAAGTATCCAAACTATGCCATAACAATGGCTCAGACAGATAAATAATAATCATAATAATAATAATAATAATAATAATTTTTTTAATAATATAATAATGTTATTCAACTTTAAAAAAATATGTATATAATTTACAGAAATATTTGGAGTAAGAATTAAGCACTATATAACATTAAGAATAGTATAAATAATAAAAATAGCAATCACTGTGTCAATAACGATTTCACAAATACGTTCCTTGCGGCTCAGATGCGGTCACTGACTCTTGCAGGCAGTCCAGAGTTTTAAATTAAGTCATTACAAATCCGTCTCTGATATTAAAAAAAAATAAAAATCTCGTATTCCTAAATTCCTAATTCTTTAAAAAAACAAAAACAAAAACAAAAAAAACTACAACAACAAAAATTAATTCGGGCAGGCTCTAATATTATCAATTTGTTGGTCTGAGTCAACAAAGTCTAGCTGTTTTCTTCTGGATCTTGAGCCTCTCAAGTACAGTATAGCAGAGCGTACGATGGCGAAAGATACTTTAGCTCTTATCCAGGAAATTGCGCTTGAGTAACCTTTCTCCCTCCGTATTTGCGATCAGCTCCGCAAGTCTGCTGCGGTACCTGACACACATTTATTTTATATATACTGAGATTTTCGCATCAAATTTTGCTGTGTGAAAAAGCGTTTCGGATTTTACTTCGACCAATCAGAGAGGCGAAACGAGTTTCTCACACGTGAAAAAATCGTTTCGTCCAATCACAAACCACGGTTTAAGCGAATTGTGTTTTCGCAGGCTTTTTCCCGGTCATCGCGGGTAGCTTTGTCGGGCAGCTTTCACAAGATAATATTTTCGGTGTACTCGAGTTGCTCGTAATTCAAACTTATCAAGAGCTTGGAGGTATTTTTGAGCATGGCTGAACAATCAAGAAGATTTGTGTCTCTAGACAAACCTATAGTCAAGTTTATCGAAGACCAAAAAAACAAGAACCGGCGAAACAACAGCGGAAAGGGATAAACAGAACGAGACGTAAGCTTTCGTTGTGCTTTTTGTTGGAGCTACTTTGCCTTTCATTTAACCATTTAAGCTTAAGCTTATAATTGAAACTGGCTATTTTACTTAAATTCACTCATTTTCAATTGTGCATTGAGAACAAACAGTTAAGATTACTTATAGTTCTTGGATTACACGAAGCTTCAAACGCATCAAGCGCGTGTTTGAATCGTCAGACGAAGACAGCCCTACGCAGTGACAAACTTGACTTGGCTTTGTTTCTTTCGTTATTTCCTTATTTAATTAAGAATTGAAATGTTTGCTATCCTTTGCACCAGTTATGATTTTTGATTGGTGATATTTTTACACGTCGATTTTAGTAAAGACTTAATTTTTCGAAGAGAATTTAATACAGGAGTTTTGTAATTATTTTAGAGAACCAATTAAAGCTGGATAAATAAAAAAAATCTTAGTATGTATAAAATGAACAAATTACAGCATGGAAAGCGCTTTGTACGGGATTTTCACACTCGTTGGTTTTGTATCAGAAATCTCACTCGTTCGCTGCGCTCACTCGTTCGATTTCAGATACTTCACCAACTCGTGTGAAAATCCCGTACGCACGCGCTTTCCATGAAGTAATCTCTATATCCGCCATTCCACCTGTGGTCGTGAAAACTAGAGGAGTGAACGTTCCCTGTTCGATCTCCATTACTCTTTCCGCATACTGCCTCTTCTTCTCGTTCTCATGCTTCTTGTAGATCTGTTGAGGAGTCAAGTCTCTGTAAGAGTCTGCATTAGGGTGACACACCCGGACGTCAAAGAATGCAGATCTCTGTCTCTCCTAAAAATCTCAAGCATGAACATCGAAACGGGCATCAGGGGCTTTGTTAGCGCCATTATTTAATGTCTCCTCAGTGACCTCCTGCAGGACCGGCTCTACTTCCACATAATTACAGACCATCCTTAGCATCTCTGCTTCCAAGTCGCGCAGTTCATTATGGCGTTGAATAATGAAGCCGCCGCGCTGACACACCATTGCGTGATCCACGCTAAATTGAACACGCGAGAGCCGCGCCTCAGTGCTTGTGACCCTCTATGGTGACATTAATAGCGGTGCCTCTAAACACCTCGCTGGCAGCTTGTTCTCGTTCCGGTTTGATGATCAACCAACATTTCTTGGCATTGGGGAAGTAACCCAGCGGAAGGCCACTCTCGGATAGTTCATCCCACCATTTCCTCACGTCTTGCAGGGAACCACTTCCGGTTGCGTCATCAGCAAAGCAAAACTGTTTTGCGGCGCTTGAAACGTGCAGTCGCGTTATAAGTGGTTAATAATAATAAATATATAGATTTAGCCAGGGCAAAAAGCGAGGCTCCCATTAGTAAATTTATAATTTAAATTAAACAATAAACTTGTATTCGAATTCCACAATTCAGTTAACTTTAGAGCACATTTATGTGACTTTTGAGGGAAAGGCTACCTGATTTTAGAGAAAAATAATTTGCAAACAGCCCAAGAGTGAACCAAATCTTACATCGAGTTGATAGCCTCATATGTACACTCAAAAACTGGTAATCATCTTTTATCACATTTAAGAGCCGTAATGGCTATTGATCACCGTAGATCAATTAGGCTTAGAAAAAAAATCAGGCCAACGTTTTGGCGTTCGACAAGTTTACTTTGGAAAATCTTGCCAACAAATCTGGGTGCGTGTAAACCAACCTTTTATACCATGGACAGAAAGCAGTATTTCACAATACAAATTACTCTCATTCAATATTCATAAACTGTTAAAAAAATTTTCCAAAATCACCTATACGCCCATCCGGTTCTCACTTTTGTAGTGCGAGCTGTAGCGAGTGTTTGAATGAACATTAACAGAGTTACGCTCCAAGATAATAAAGAATTTATCATGTTTATTTTTTATTTGATGGTTTAACGCGCGGCATTTTGAGAACTCCTGCAAGCGATGTTCACTGAACGACTGAAAACAATCGGCATAGCGATTAAAATTGCGAGAGACTACCAACAATCAATAAAAGAAATATAATTCGGTGAAACATAAACAGAGACAACAATTTTCATTCAGGAAGACAAGTATTAAAGTGTCCCTAAATATTCTGAGTCTTCAAGCTTCAAGCTTAAGTTTGCTGAAGTTTATGTTTTAAGCCAGCTTCCCGGTGTTTGTTTTTTCAAAGACGAACTCGAGGCAAGAAAATCGCTCAAAGCTTTCTTTTCCGGCTAGAATTATAACTAAAGATTCTTTGGAACATTTTCTTTCTATTTGCGGTGAGAAACTGTCTAAAGGCTTTTTGAAGTTCTGTAAGATTATATCAAACCAGATACTCGGTGAGATTGTTGTCTCAAAACTTACAAACGCGCATAAACTAAATTCCCGCATAAACTACGCTCCACTTCATTAAATTAGATACAAAAAAACAAACATGAAATACAATAATTTCTCTGGCTTACCATTCGAGATGCAGCTCCTGAAAGTTATCAGGTAAAGCCAGTATCGCTTCAGACTTTGCAATCCTCTTACGCATCAAGCAAGGTGAAAACGAAAACGATGCCATCCGAAATCGGATTTCCGACTTTGACAAGCGACGTTTTCTCAACCAAAAACCCAATAAACAAACTAGCCATGAGTAACAGAAGACTCCTGATAGCAGCTGAATTTCATTTTGTACATCCAGTGGAAAAAGACAGTTAAAAACATCACAAGTTGACACAAAACTCTGTCAGCTTCAGCTGTTAAAGTAAACAAGATTCAAGATGCTGCATAAATTTTGCGCATGAACTCACATGTCAAATTTTGACCAATCAGAGCATAAAAATTGGACGTAGAGCGTGAGCAACGCGTGACCATTGTGAGAAAAAACAAAAGCAACTGTCTTCCCTGCCTGTAACAGCTGGCTGAATTTTCACGTCCGAGGTCAGTTTGCAATCAAAATTTTAATTGTGCAGCACATAAACACAACATATTTCATATGAATTAAGAAAAAAAATTGAACTTGAGCCTGCGATCACTTGAAAACTAGTTTACTTGTCAGCGGATAACTTCAAAAAATACTTGACCTCGACGTCGACACCTGGGTCGACACCGGGTCGACACCTGAGCCCGCGATACGGTCAAGTGATACTGGTCAGCGGGTACTCTGTTTTGACAGCTGTCAATTGATCAAAACATTGATGTCCAATATGTGTGCATTATCAGTTTTCCTGTGCTCCCAAACTAGTAAAAGTATGAGATTGAACGTTGTTCGCGATCTAGTAAAACAGTTAACTGGTCAGCGGACAGCTTCCAAATAAATCACGTCACCTCGATGAGTTGACACATGAGCCCGCGATATGGTCATGGGATACTGGTCAGTGGCTATCCTATTTGGACAGCTGTCAATTGACCATATTGTTAATGTCCTATATTAAAGATGTGGACTTGCCAAGACACGCCTGAGGCACCCCTCCCTTCCTTTTGATAGTCTCCCCTACCCCACCCATACAATCTGTAGACGCGTACGTACGTACGCTCGGTCAATCACGTGACAACCAAACGAAAAGAGGTTGACCATATTCCATGGGTATGGGGCTCTGTCCCACGCGCGCTTCGCGCGCGCGGGAGCCCCGCTATAATACTAATAATAATAATAATAATAATAAAACTTTTGAAGCTCAAAATAACTAAGCATTCTCCAACTAATATTTTATTCAGAATTGAGCTGAAGGAGGCGCGCGACCTCTTAGGTCCGTTAAAAAAGTTTATTGCTTTGGGAGAAACAATGCTAGTTCTTTCTCGGGCTCACAAATGTCTCACAAAACAAGGCTGAAGCGTTGTAAAAAAATTCTTACCTAAACTTTGGGAACTGACAAAATATGCCTAAAATGGCTATTATCAGCCTGACGTCTTTTTAAATATTCTGTAACTTGGTGAGTGTGTAATTGGCTTTATGTGATCAGTTTTAGCGTACGTTATATTTTAAAGGGGAAGCATTCTTTCAGTCAAGAACACAATAATTGGATTGTGTTTAAAAAAGTAAAAATTCGAGGTATTTTGTGATGATGATGATTCATTTACTTACTATTTAGTTATTTTCACAAGCTGCATTAATTTTAGTGCCACATTCAAAGCGTACGCCTAAGAATGGTTAACATAAAATCGTCGCATGTCACGAAGAGTCATCCAAACTAAAGCGTTTTCTGGTGAAAAAAGAAATCTTGGAATAACACTTTTGACATTTATCAACCAAAGACTTAAGGAAAATGGATGTACGGTATTTAGAGCAGTTTATCAATAATATGAAATTAAATCTGACTTGTCTCCACAGTATAAGAGGAAACGTTTTGATAATGTTATAATGTACACTTTCTCAGTTATTATTACTTCACCTGAATTTTTTTTGAGACACCAAAATCAGCCAGTTTCACAGATCTATCGCTGTCCAAAAGTATATTCGGTCCTAGCAAAAATAAAGATGACGCTGAGAAGAAAGTTACGGTGGGCCGATGGATAAACAATTTTTAGCACAGGAACTAAACGCACCAATCACCAAAAACCACCGTGACGGTCTTTCTAACCGCCCCGCACAGCCAATTGTGACCATCTCCTTGAACGAACGAAACGCGGTGATTAATAACAGAGAGACTATCGTGAGATCAACGATTAACAAACCCCACCACACAAAAATCATGATTTATAAGATCTTTGAGAGAGATGATTATTCAGTCAGTGACACGGGCTGCTCAGAAGAAAAAATCCGTGTACTCTCCATAGAAGACGAACCTATGACCGTCTGGTTACTAGTCCGGATGCTCTTCCACTCAAAGCTAAAGGAGACCGGTGGGATCTAAAACCACTAAACTAGCCGGATCCAGAACACTATGGAAAAATAAAAGGGGGCTTCGACAGTCATTTTCATGGCGTAATCTCAAAATATCAAGTTTTGCATAATTATGGGCGTGGCTGGTCACGTGACCTTAAGAGGCACAGTGTGAGGTCCAAAAAATGGTTCGGATCTTAAACACATATGTCTAAGTAAAAATGAAAAGAGACGGCAGACAAAACAAGAATAAATGATAAAAGCCTAAAATGGAGCGAGGAGCCATGCCTTAAATCACTCCGGGGGGGTGGGGAGGGGGGGATGATGAGCTGGCTAAGACAAACTGATTTTACCTTTAATGTCGCGGTGAGTTACTTCATTGTCGTGTAGATAATCCACCCCCTCAAGTATTTGCCGTGTGAACTTCCCTGTTAACCGTTCATCAAGTTTTCCGCTTTGTTTTATGAAGTCGCGCAATGAACCCTGCAAAAAATGTAAAATTTCGCTATGCTTACATTCTAGCTTTAATTTTCACTTTGATTTCCTTTTTGGTAATCTAAGCACTTGACATTTCTTTGTCGCGGGGGTCGCTGCACAACTTCAGCTTCAGGAATGTTGGCCTACATTTCAGTGACAAAGTAAGCGAGTTGGAATAATCGCGATAAAGATTGAAAGAACGCGAAGTCACTTTTTAAGGGACGTTCGTTATTTAAAATAAGTGCTTTGATCTATGACGAACGTTTTGTCATAACTTATTTTCGATTTTAACGTGATGGCTACGAAACTTTGAGAAGAATTACAGTCATTTAACGGCAATTATATGAGATAATCCGATTTTACTGGTGGCAGAAATGTTTTATTACGCGACTTGTAAAAAATGTTGCTGATCTTTTTGACTAAATGACTATCAACGCTATTCTCTAACAGTTGCCTGTATTGCCCGGGCACTTCCTTCAATTTGCTTTAATTCTAAAAAGCTATCTGTTCCTTCACGAAGGATGCAAGCCAAGGAAGAATTACACTTGACAGTGGAAATTACCCAGTTTGATAATTTGCTAGCTTGACACATGATTGAGGCGACTGCTTTAGCCTGTAATAAAAGCACTAACGAAAACCCCAAAAGGCTCTAACTGAAAACCTACCGACTTTCCGTATTGATCCTTCATCCGCAGATTAACTGAACAAGTCATAGTTTCAAAGACAAGAACTGGAAAAAGTTCATTTTCCTGTTTACGATAATGATGGTCGAAATTTTAAACTCCACGCAAGCATGCGATCCGCTGAATATAATATACATGTATTCTCATAATTGCCCATAATTATGTGAATATTTCTACAATGAACTAACCAATGTCACTACTCGGTTTTCGGGGAAAGAGTGACATCACCAGACGGCATTAACGGCTCGTTGATTTAGACGTCTTTCTCGGGAGTTTGCGAATAGAGGAGATGGCTGAAGACTAAAATTAAGGCTAATGTAACAGATGACGCGCATACATTTGTAGAACTTCGGAGTCAAAAGCTGTTTGCTGTTAAAAGGAATAACTCATGACAGGGCGCATTAGTGCAGCTTATCTCTACCTTTTGGCGCAAGCAAATAAACCTTATCACGGCCAATAGGCACCTATGGGTTAAAAAGTCTTACCCCAGCCATGAAATCCAAAAAAAGATAAATGACGTCTCCCTTTTGTTCAATTCCATGAACACGCACAATTCTCGGATGTCTTAGCCTTCTCAACTTGACAAGTTCATTTTCAAGCTGCTTAACCCCCTGAAAGAAATAGTAGTATACCCCATTATTGAATAAGAGAGCCCTAAAGAGTGCATTTCTATTGATGATCTTTTCTGGGCCTTTTACGCATATAACTCAACTGTCCTATATATTCCTGCTCTGTGAGTCCCAAGAACTGCGTATCAAGTGACGTTCGCATTCGCCCTTCGTAGAAACCAATGCCACGTATTAGAGTCACGTGACTGTCACAAGAAGAAATCTTTCCAAAATTATCAGTGTCATCATTGAAACTGATCATTGAATTAATTGTAATGTGTTTTTCGACCCAACCCTTGAAACAATAGACAGAATTAGCAAAGAGAATGCGATGACAGACAAGAAGAACGCACAAAAGCGTGAACCTGACTTCTGGTGCTCATTTTGCCTTTCTGATCATGTCGGTTTTGAGATCCGCGCGTTGTCGTCTCCGTTGTCACCTTTTCTTTGCTACATTTGTCTATTGTCTGAGCAGAATGAGGGACATCATTCAGTCGTGGTTACTTCTAGCAAGATCTACTATTAAAAGATGACTGTAAAGATTGACGTCAGTTCAATCTAGGGGACAACAAATTTTCCAGTTTGACAAGCCACTATATTGTGAGTCAATTGATTGCCAAAACATTACATGTGGCAGAAAAAGAATTTAATACGGCTAGATTACAGTGCTCATACTTTTACTTCTATAGTAACAACTTGCTGGTTGCTGTGGTTGGTGGTACTTTGTACAACAACAACAATACTTTGTTCCATAATAACCATAAGAGCATAACACAATACCATAACTATACTTGGAAGCAATTTTAAGAGGAGACATTTTTGCTGCCAAGTATAATACTTCATAATAATCACGAATCGTAATCTTTGTGAAATGACTAACCTCTTGCGATTCTGAACACTGAGACTCAATTTTGACTTCTTTCATTGCCACCTTGATTCCAGACTCACGATGGGTCAAACTAAACACCTATGGGGTATTCAAAGGAAAGATACATGCGCACTATTCACTGAAATGGGGAGCAGCTTAACAAATAAAATTTCCAGAAACCTCAAACAATTTTTCTGGGAGGAAGGGAGCGATGGATGGATGGATGGTTGGATTGTTGGTTGGTTGGATGGATGGATGGATAGATGGATGGATGGATGGAAGGATGGCCGGCTTAGAAAACAAACATCGAGAAAACAGTGTTTTTCACAGGATTTTCAGATAAACAGTGTCGTGAGGACTATCAAAGGAATCATTGTTTATTCTACCCACAGACTCGTAGCTCAACTTGCGAAAACAAGATACTAGGATACTTGTCCGCAGGTAGCATTTGCTATTCTAGGCGGAACAGTGATACTAAGGCATTACAATGAGATAATTAATATTTACAAAATTTACAAAAAGGAGATTTACATTTAACATATTCACTTACACCAAGTTTTGTTAATTTACATTTGACATAATTACAAGTTCGTTATCACCAGTTTCATTAAATAAATTCGAATCAAGCAACTTTTGTTGTATCATTTTAGAGTTGAAGAAATTTGGGAAATGTCAATATAGTCATTACGATTCTTTAGAAAGAGAGAAAGAGTGGAATTTCGTTTTGAAGTGTGTGTGTGTGTGTGTTTTTTTTTCGTAGGGGGGGGGGAGCTCTCGTAAATATGCTGGTATCTCATTGCAAATTTTAGCTCGTACTCTTGAAAAAGCTCTCTTTTGGACTTATAGGCAAGATTTCTTGATATAAAAATTATTTGACAAGGAATAACGAGTTTAATATATAGATTTAGCCAGGGCTAAAAGCGAAGCTCCCATTAATAAATTTATATTTTAAATCAAACAATAAACTTTTAATCCACAAATCAGTTAACTTAAGAGCACATTCATGTGACTTTTGAGGGAAAGGATAAGTTATTTTAGAGTGAAACATCTTACATCGAGTTCATAGCCTAAATATATGTACACCCAAAAAATAGCAAACATCTTCTATCACATTCAAGAGCCATAATGGCTCTTGATCACAGTAGATTAGGCCTCGAAAACAAATTCTTGGAAAACAAATCAGGCCGCATTTTTTTGCGTTCGACAGGTTTACTTTACAAATCCTTGCCAACAAATCTGAGGGTGTGTAAACCAACCTTTTATACTTTTTATACATCACATCTCAGGTGAAACAGTACTTTTTATCATACAGACCTCGGACAGAATACGGCATTTCACAATTTTTCAATGTCCAGGACGATCAATCGTGGGCTTTTAGCGAAACCGTTCAAAAAATTTCCAAAATCACCCATACGGCCAGCCGGTTTTCATTTTTAGTGCGAGCTGTCAGTGTGGTTGAGTGTTTGAATGAACTTTAATGGAGATACGCTTCAACATAATAACGAATTTATTATTATTACTTTTTGTTATTTAATGGTTCCAGTTATAACGATGTGTAATCTTATAAAGCGTTTGATGATACGCGCGACATTAAGTACTCCTGCAAGCGATGTTCATGAACGATGAAAACAAACACCACGGACAAGCGATTAAAATTGCAAGAGAGACTACTAACAATCAATAAAAGAAATATAATTCGGTAAAGCATTTACAGAGACAACAATTTTCATTCACGAAGACAAGTATTAAAGTGTCTCTAAAAATCCTGAGTCTTTAAGCTCAAAGCTTAAGCTTAAGTTTATTTTGTTTTACTTTCAGCCGGCCTCCCGGTGTTTGTTTTTTTTTTCAAAGATGAACTCCTCGAAGCAAGAAAATCACTCAAAGTTTTCTTTCTACAGCCAAATTTATAACTAAATATTCTTCGGAACGTTTTTTTTCTATTAGCCGTGAAAAAAAAAATCTGAAGGCCTTTTAAAGTTCTGTAAGCTTATATCAAACCTGATACTAGATCAGATCATTGACTCACATCTTAACAAACGTGCACAAACTTGCCGCATAAACTGTGCTCGACTTCATGAAATTAGATATAACAAAAATAAACATCAAATACAATAATTACTCAGGCTTACCATTCGAGATTCAGTTCCTGAAAGATATCAAGGAAGGCCATAGTTGCTTGAGACTTTTAAACCCTCTTATGCATTGAGCAAGGTGAAAGACGAAAACGGTGCCATCCGAAATCGGATTACCCAATTTTGACAAGCGACGCATTTCTCAACCAAAAACCCAATAAACAAACCAGCCATGGATAGAGTGATTTTCGTATGACCTTGAAATGAAAACGCGCGAACAAAACAAAAACAACAAACGAACGGAAATAAAGCGATTTGATTGGTTTATCGAACGGATACAAAGGCACCTGGCTTTTGGCTGGTTAAGCGAACGCTCGGCTGAAAAACTTTCATGCCCGAAGAACTTTCTAGAAATTGCTTTGACGTCATACTGCAGCACGATTGGTCAATCGAACAATGCCTTCTCCATATTAGGGTTTTCTTTGGCGGGAAAACGAAGAGTCCATGTTTTGTTCTTTTCATCCATTGGCTGATAAAACAAGTAACAAACACGTACGGAAACCATTTTTCAAGGTCATACGAAAATCGCTCTAACAGAAGACTCTTGGTAGCAGCTGTATTTCATTTTGTACATCCAGTGGAAAAAGACAGTTAAAAACATCACAAGTTGACACAAAACCCTGTCAGCTTTAGATGTCAAAGTAAACAACTTTCAAGATGCTGCATAAATTTTCCGCATGAACTCACCTGTCAAATTTTGACCAATCAGAGTACAAAAATTGGACGTAGAGCGTGACCAACGCGTGACCATGGTAAGAAAAGGTCTTCCCCGCCTTTATTTTTAAAAAAGTGGCTGAATTTTCGCGTCCGAGGTCAGTTTGAAATCAAAATCTTGACAGTGCGGGGCCATAGTGACATAAACACAAGATATTTCATATGAATCATTGGAAAAAATAGACTTGAGCCTGCGATCATTTGAAACTGGTAATTTGTCAGCGGATAACTTCAAAAAAGTACTCGACCTCGATGGGTCGACACTTGAGCCCGCGGTACGGTCAGGTGACACTGGTCAGCGGATATCCTGTTTTGACAGCTGTCAATTGATCACAACATTGATGTGCAATTAGTTTATTATTGGGCTCCCAAACTAGCTAGAAAGTGGAAGAGAGAACATTGGTTTCCCTGTGGTGCGGACGGACGGTCGGGCGTACGGTCACGTGATTACCAAATTTTCTCGGATGGGTAGATTACCACATTTCCTTAGCTATGGAGCTTCGTCCACACGCGCACGCTTCGCGCGCGGGTGGAGCTCCGCTATAATTATAAAAACTGGTAGTATCGCTGAATATAGGTTCAAAATGTTTCTTGCTACCTTTTGATTTCGTAGTATCATGCATTAAACAAAAACGGATTCGTAATAAAGAAAATTAGTGGTAGAATATCAGCATCAGTAAACAGAAGGACAGCATGTTCATATCTCTCTACGGAAAATATAAATCTTAGTGCTCGTCAGTTGGAGGATTTAAGAGCGCCGGTCAGGAAAAATCGACCAAAATCTTAATTTCGTGGCAAGAGTTGAAAAATCAATTTCTTTCATTTTTTGTTCATAGATAGCTTTTAGGTAGATAGGAAACCTAAAGTAGATTGTTCCTGTCGAAAGCTTTTTATTTGTAAGAAAAATTAGAAGATCGGTTTTCGATGTCAGAGTCTCAGACTGCCCTAATTTTTAACCTGAAATTCGCTAACATTAACAATCCATGCGTTCGCAAACGAAGCCGCATGGAGAAATTTGGACTCTTTCCATGAACAGAAAAATTATCTTTCTTCCACTAAAAGATACTTTCAGGGCAATAGCGAAGCTCGTCGTACTGAAATAATTCAAAAATGAGGGATAAGTTTTCAGGATAACAAAAACTTAAGTTCATTACTCATTTTCGACGGCAATATTTAACATGTGGTATAACTCCAAATTCTCTTAATGCTATTTAAATCACACATTTAGACATTCATTAAAAACATACCTGGGAATTGGCTTGGGTAATTGAATGTAATCTCCGTAAGACACCATCGAAGTTCAGGAATGTTCATAGCAGGCCGGCGGTAATTGTGTAAACACTTCCAATTTCGAAACACACAAAAGTAAATATTTATAGCCTAAAAGCTCGTTTTTTGGTACTTCTTGTACGTTTTCCCATGGCAAAATTTCTTTTTTCCAATCAAAGAGTGGGGTAAAAAGGTGAAACTGAGTCAGTCAGTTTTAGATATTTCGAAACGCTGAACCCTACCAGATTGGCGACTCTGCGTCACAATCTGTTCCGTGACTGCACGTGACATAACGTGCGTTTGAAGAGAGTTAAAATGACAGTCACGGAATCACGGTAGTAACGCAACGCAGTTCTTGAAAGAGTAACATTAGCTGTGGTCACACTAGAGACTTTTTACCTAGGTAAATTCGACTTGTTGACAGTTTACCTAGGGAAACGTGATTTTAAAGTGTGACCGATTTTTCTCTAGGTAACTTACCTCAAAAATCTCCCGAGGTAAATTCATCTCGGGATTTGTTTTGCCTAGGTGAAAAATTCTGGGAAGGTCACACTACTGATATCGGCTCTCAAGGTTTCCACGCCAGTTGAATTTTTTTTAGCGTAAATTTAAAAAGGCAAGATGCGCAGGGATCTAGCTGATCAAAGAGACGTTTTTTCTTTTATCTCAGTGTTATTTCTTACGCTAATTCAACGTGCAAGGTGAAGAAAGGCGAAGACGTAGACGACTCGTGCCCCTAAAATTTCTTTCACAGCGTGAGCTATGGCCGGTTCTGTCATCAAGACTTTCGCCGATGAGCGTCTATTGGCTAGCAACCTCGGTATTTCATTTTTCCCTAGAAATCGCTTCGAGGTAGTGTGACTACAGCTATTTTCGATCCCGACAGTATTTTGAAGAAGAAAAAGTCAAACGCGCTTGTTTCTGGTACTCACTTTTTACCGAAAAATATGGACTTTAACAATGGTAATTCGCTAAGGATGACGGAACAGGAAGATATTTCGTCTTCTTTCTTTACGATCGAGGAAACTTGGAGCCGTTAAATAAGTTATTTTGGTCACGCTTTACTATTTTTACCGGACTTTGATGCTTTCGTTTGGAGGCTGCCTAAAGGAAACGAAGCCAATTCTCAGGTATGCTTTAGATGAATGTCTAAATGTGTGAATAAACGAGGACCGGGAAAATTTGGAGCCATGCCACATAGTCCCGTCAATCTAGGCATTTTTGAGGGTCAACATCAAACTAATTGCATCAGAATTGATTTCAACGCCATTTAAGTAAGGGTGGCCTATCTAGCAACATACTAAAAATCCGTCAAAAAATTTTGAGCTTTCAACGCAGGGAACCAACGTTAGTTGAAATTATACGTTCAAACAAAAAATGCGCAAAATGTGTTTGCTACTTTTATGGAAAGTGAAAGAAGATAAGAACGACGTGTTTCTTTTTTTCATAAATGTTAAATATTTAACACGGTTGACTTTTGCACAGGAAGCCCATGCTTTGCTCAAGGAACCCCGCCAAAATAACAGGAGGCTTACAGAGCAATAGAGTGAACTTTTGGCTGTAAAACTACAACAAATTTAGTCGAAAGGCTTTAAATCTGAAAAATGAAAGCCTTTACTCAATCATTAGGTTTTAAAACACATCCTTTTTAAATCAGATTTCTGTTAGGCACAAAGGTAAGAAAAATATATGAGCTAGATTTTTGAATAACGTTACAGAAAAAATAGGGTTCTCAAACAGAAGTAAAAAAAAACTAGCAGTGCAGAAATTGCTTTTTTTTCTTCTCTTTCTTTCTTTCTTTCTCTTCGCTCACTCTATTTTCCCTTTCCTTGTCCTTTTCTAGGAGAATTTTCGGGCTCATTTTGCCTTCGGCCTTTGGTCTTTTTTCTCAGTCAGAAGACTGCAATTTTCGTTCGGTACGCTCTCAAAAATCCAGCAAGATAATGCTTTGCAGGCTTTTACGATATACCGGTTTCACTTTTTTGAAGCTTTTCGTTTTCTTCTTGTTAAAAGTGAATGGAGAGGAGGGGAGGATAGTTTAACTAATCCTTTACGATGCACAACAGTGCAGAGTTTTTGAGCAGGTTAAGCTCCAATGCCCATGAATTTGATAAGAGGGAAATGTGTTTTCATTTAAGGAAAAGTGTTGTTACCTTCGCATAAGAACTTTGGTTCCAGCAAACGTTTGTTTCAAGAAAACGAGATAGTATAATAGGGAAGCTGCTTTTAAAGGAAAGACAAACTCTGGGTAGCCAAAACAATGCGTATGTAAAAATATCTTGTAAGAGTCTATGGAGTAATGGAAATTCCCCGCGCAGAGCATAATTCACGCAACTCAGTGATAAAGTTAACATGCAGTAAGTTGAAGTGTTACACAACGCACATCCGAAGAGAAACATAGGTTCCGCAAAGAGGTGAGCCATCAGAAGCTAAGTCAGGCAAGCCCATTAATGTTGTACATGTGTCCAGCACTTTTGCGCCTTCATTGACCACTGCAATTATTTTCAGACGTATAGGATCCCATGATCGTTAAGAAAAAGAGGTCTTCATTTGCCCATGGACGAAAAAAAAAAAACTGGTCAAAGTTCAGGGTTGTTCTCAGAAAAGAAATGCAAGGCATAAACTTCTTTAGACCACAGAACCATTAATCTACTTATTCATCTTACCAAGAAATGAAGGGCTGCCGCAGAAAATACAAACTGAACACAGAGATAAACTAAACTAAACTAAACTGAGATCTGAGACTCGTTACAAGAAGAAGATTAAAAAAAGGAACAATCACACTGCACTTGGTTTTCTGGATTTCCCCTGCTACAGATTCGGCCATGTGTAATGAAAAGCGCAGAGCGTTACGATCAAGCAAAAACCAAATAGACGGAGTCCTTATAAGCAGAATATTTATTCAGTCACATTGTAAAGTACAGAGTCGTAATCATAAAGGAGGTTGCTCACGTCGCGAGAAATAAAAAGAATCCCTGATTTTTGTCCAAGGTTTTTGAGTAAAATGGGAATAGGATAAACAGTTTGTACTGATACAGAGCTATCGTCCGTTGCAAACATTTAGTCGCACGTATCTTGCAGCATGGATTCAAATTAAGTAGCTGACTGAAGCTGAACAAAATATCAAACCAAATGGTTCACCATCAGTCAGCTACTCTAAATTTGCATCCATGCTCAGCTGCAAAAAAAAAATTACTTCTACACTTCTTTTATAGTGTTCAGTACTCGATGGAAAGAAAGTCGACTAAACGGCGTTTAAACCAGCCGTAGGACACAGAGTGGCTATGAACTAAAGGTAAGGGAGCTTTTTGAATCAATATTTCGCGTGATCATGATTTTTTTTGTCTTAGGGACCGTTCATTTTTTACGAGGTAGGAGGGGCTGGTGGGATTTGGGGGGGGGGGAGGTCACCCCAAAAAAACGGCTTAAAAGGGGGGGGGCATTCCAAAAAAAACGGAGGGAAGGGGGGGGTTACGCGAAATATTTTAGTTCATGTAGAGTTGACATGATGTTTTATTACTAAATAAAACTACATATACAGAAACAAACAAAAGGTACATAAATGTATCAAAAACCTTTGGTTCTGCGTTTACATGACAGCGTTCAGTTCCACGACAACAACTTTCAAAGCTAGGAAACTATCATTAAAAGATTCTTTATCAGGTCAGTACTGTGCAACGTTTCTCTGCTCATGTTCCTCTTCGTCATCATTGCCAAGCTCTTCCTCATCGCTCGTGCTGCTGCTAGAGTCGCTTTCGTCGTTTTCAGTCATAGCATACTCTTCAGGGTACATGAAGCAGTACACGTTATCTCTAACCTCCGGCTTGAGGTTTGTGATAATTCTGCTTCCTGCGGCGTTGCTGAAATGGTTTCTTTGCAAGAGCTGTGCAATGTATGCCACATCTCGATCAAAAAGCAATTCGGAAACTTTCTCAATGTCGATGCACCCTTCAGGCACGGCAAGGCAAGGAGGATACAGAAGACATTTCGGAAGATCATTACCTATACACTCGTTGGACGTTGTTTTCAAACCTTTTCTTTTTTCTTGCATTCGATTTTCGACGGTTTTCTTTTTTTCTCCTTCCCTTGCTGATGCGGTCTCTATGTAGGCCCTTGAAAATGCTACGAAAACTGTCTTTACTTTCTTCTAGTGTCTCTGTATCCCGAGTTACCTTTTGCACCTTAGCCTCGACGCACTTGATCTGCTTTACATTGAAGTTGTGAGCAAATTCTTCTCCTTGCTTCAAGATAAGTCCATTTGACTGGAAAAGCGTAGAATCATGTTCTTTCAAGGCTTTCACTACGCTTTTCAGTTTCCCAAGCATACTTTGGTGCTCTTTAATCGAAGAGTTCAATCTCCTGCCATCACTGGGCTTAAGCTGATATCCTGGCTTGAGAAATTCACATGCTCTTTTCGAGCAGCCGTCTGCATTTTGGTCGGCAACCTCTTTCGATTGCAAAAGATCAAATTGCCGCGATCTTAGCTTTCGGCAGTGAACCTATTCTTGAAAGACTGGTTGCTTTCGCCATTCTTTCTCATTTTGATTGTTTTTTTGCAAGGAACCAATCAAACCGTACCATTTTCGATCCTCCAAACAAACCAGGGTGGATCATAAACGCTTACCAAATCAAGCAATACGGAATGGTTCAGAATTCACCTGAAACCATCCCACCACATAGCAACTGATGAGAATCGTGAGATTCGAAACTGCCGGTCTTGGTTGTAAACTTATATTTAACTGCAGACATTATGTAGCGGCACAAAGAAGCCAGTCAACTGATTGGTAAAAAAACAAGTGCCAATGGTATTGAAAAATATCGAGCTTTAAAATACTCTCCTCCGATATTAAAACTACTAGTCACATTTACAAAGCGATTGAGTTTCAAAGCGACATTCAAAGGACACAGCATCATAATGTATTTAAATCACGCTTCTCCTAAAGACGTGATAAATACACAAAACCAGTGTTAGATCTGGATATATTTAAAGACTACGTGCTGTGTACAGCTGAACATTGTTCTCTGAGATCGCGTAAACGTAGACTTTACGGAGATATTAAAAGCAGACACCCTAAGATTACAGCAGCTATGGAAAAGTTTTTATATTTTTGAGTAGACAAATCTCATAAACGGACTACAAATTCAACAGGAATACGCGCGAACTGAATAAATTGTCTGTTGTACATTTTAAAGGTTCTGCTCACCTTACACAATTTTCCCTTGCTGAACATAAACTGTACCGAGCCGTATCTTGGTCTGCTATATAAAAGCTATATCAACGTTCAAATTTCAAACTGTAAGATCCCTGAAAGAGTTCTCCTCAATGGAGCAATATGTAAAAGGTTTTCAAAGGTTTCACGCCTATGAAGATGTGCGGCCTGTCACCTCTTGCAAGTTTTTAATTCCATCAACTCTGGGGGTGAAGATGTCATACTTGCCTTTATCGATGACGAGGAAGAAGTTGAGAGCCTAGCAACGACACGCTCTGGAAGATCCATAAACGGAAGATCGGAAATCGACTTTTTCACTTTGAAAAATAGTGAAGAAGTGCCTTAGCAAATGGACAGAATTTATTTTTTGAATTAACAGAAGTGGCTGCTACATCTGTAGAATGAGTTGTCGACAGCTTTACATTGAAGAGAAAATGCAAATCATATTGTGCACTGCAAAATATATGCATGTCAGGTTAAATTACGATCATGTCTCTTTTAATGGGGGTTCACCCAAAAAATGACCGTCTTTGGGGGGCATGAGAAAAAATGAGGACTGAGTGGGGGGGCATGGTAATTCGTAATGGGGGTTCAAAAAATTCAACCAGCCCCCCCCCCCTACCTCGTAAAAAATGAACGGTCCCTTAGCGTTGTAGATTCCAATACATGTGATAAAATTTGAACAATAAGGGCCCGTATCACATGTAATAATGCAATAAATCTCGACCTTCGTTATCTTAAAGGCTACTAGTACTGATAGACAAACAAGAAGACTTCATATCTTTAAGTCTTTTTGCATTTATTTGGCATCAGATAATACACTAATAATTCTAGTATATTCCGACCAAATGACCTCTGAAACCCGAACCCACACATAGTTCGCTTGGGCCGCCTGTGTAAAAACCTGTTCTTCGTTTCTGAATTATGTGCTTTGAAAGTATCTTCTAGTGAAAGAAAAAGAGTTGTTCTATTGATGAAAAGTGTCCAAATTTCTCCTTGCGGCTTTATTTGCGAACGCGAGGAGAGTCGATGTTAGCAAATTTCGGGTTGAAAATACGGCCGCAGTTTTGAGACTCCGACCACGAAAACTGATATTCTTACTTTTCTCGAAAATAAAAGGCTTTTAGCGAGAACAACTTACATGAGATTACTTATCTACCTAAACGCTATTTATGGACAAAAAATGAAGGCAATCGATTTTTCAACTCTTGCCACTCGATGGTCGATATTTCCTGACCGTCGCTCTTAAATTTTCGTCAGGTAGAGTTTACTCGCAAGACCCCATGCTGTTAGTCAATAAGACAATAAAATATATAGGGAAAAATTAACGCTTATATTTTATAATGCGCAGTAGAGTATTTGGTGGCACAAAATACTTAAGTTTCGCAATAATCCCATATGATCTACTTATTTTCAACGCAATATTTTCAAAACGATATTTCCAGCTTATACTGCATTCTATTAGAACCGGGTAGAACCCGTCCTCGAGAACATCACTATCGTCTGAGTTTAAGTCAACACAGACATGTATGTGTATCAAAAACGTTTAAAAAAAAAGGTATTCATTTATGGACGTTACAAAGAATGTTTCAACCTTGAAGAGAGTATGGTTGCCCTACACATCACATTTTTAAGTCAGCGTCCACTCTAATCCCTACCACCCCAAAAATGGGAAACACAAATAAGTACATTCGTAATTCAACTCAGTGTATTCTAAAATATACCTTTAAAATCATATACATGTACATTACCTTTCCAAAGGTTCCTGCACCAAGTTTCTTTCCTTTTACCCAAATATTAAGGTCTCTTCTTACTAAACGTAAAAAGACTTGAGTTAAGATATTTCGACTGGTCGATACCAGACACACGTTCTTCTAAATCTAATTCAGTTTCAAATCCTGAAATGTTAAGGTGATGTTTTTCAGAGAAAAAGTCCTAAAAAGGTCTAGTTTCTTTACAGCGATAACATAATACAAAAGGTGATAGTAGCAATACCCTAATAGAAGCCTCCTGTTGCTTGTAAATTAGATTTTTTTTTAATCAAAATGGTTACCTTTATTTTCTGAAAACTGTAACAAGCCATCTTAGAAGCACAACTGCACATACTTTGCAAAATTGCATTGGCAAAAGCTGCATAAAGTTACCAAAAATACTAAAAAGGGTTGATTTCGATGTTAAAAGGGGTGGGGTCTGGGATGCTTTGTGATTAAAATAATAATAATTCAACCATGTGGCCATGGCTCTGAAGCTTTGTTCATCTCCCCAAACGTTGCATTTTACAACACACCGGCAAATAAGTAGGTGCTGAGGAAGTAACATGATAACAGAGATTAAAAAAAAAATGAATTGTGACAAATTTGGAAGATGTCATGTTTATATAGACTAGCAGGGCAAGGTTTTTAAAATTTTATTTCCTAGTGGTTCAATACCTTGTTCGGAAGAAAATGCACCAAAGTATCCTGAAGCAGAAAAAGAGCAAAAGACGACAAAATAAACTCATAAAAGCAAAGAAAACATGCATAGAAATTAAGATCAGTAACTAAAAACAATTTAATTTTCTTCACTATACTTGTGTTAACCCTATTCAGACCCGGCCTTTTTTTTGGCTTCCTGGTCATGAACGTCAACGGTTTTGAAGTTATTCAACTTTTTCGCGAGCGTGGGGCTCCGAAAGCCCACCCCGGCCTGACTGGTGTTAATGTCCTTTCCGTAGTGGCGTTCTCCTAAATATTACGTAGTAATTAATATCATTTAGGACAAAGTAAGCCTGCAAGCAAGCTCTCCGGGACGCTCTGTCGGCGGGGCGGGAAAAAGAAGGAAAGCTTGCAACTACAGTTCCCTTTTTCTCCTTCTGTATTAGCTCAGTTGAGCCCTAAACACTTTCGTCAATATTATTCCGACGATCGAAGTCCGTATTTTTCCTTATGAAATAGCTAACTCCCTGAGAACTGCATTTTTTTAGGCTTTCAGCATAATATGTCTCCAGTCTAAGTTTGGAAAAAAAAAAATTATTCACGTTACTAAGAAAGGGAAGAGATAACCGAAATTCTACTGATGAGGTACCAGAAGAATCTCACCCACGTCAAAACACTCCCCAGTGGTGCAGATGTGGGGTTTGTAGACCAGTGCCAGACAAGCACGAAGATTTTTGTTACAAAAGAGGGACTTTCTTGACATCATAGAGGATAGTTTCAACAATATGCCTCTTCTAGGCATATTAGAAGTATCAGTAAAAGCTGTAGCGATATTCAGGCTAAAGAGATCAGCTTTTGACCATTCTGTATGGAGAGTTTTAGAAAAGCCGCATATCGCCAGTTTGCCCTTTGCAGACATGGTAAATTAGGAAGGGGTAACAGGCGAGTAATGCCGTCCTGTGTAGTTCTCCAAATCAGACACACTTATTGATTTGCAATTTCAAGCAGTTTGTTTATTTTTTTTTTTGAATATTTAACTGCCTTTGAGTCTACACCTCGACTTTGCGCGACGCGGGAAAAATAGGTCACGTGACTGGTTATTTGATAGAAGGATATTCGTCATGTAAATTACATTTCCAAGTTAAAATTTGCTTGTAGTCGCTTCAACAAAAATTGATTGGTATAGTGACCTTTTCTTGCATTAAATATTAATCTAATTTTCAGTTGACCACTACGACGACACATTTGGACGCCACGATTCGATTTCCTTTCGTCAAGTAGAAATAAATTCCAAGTGCGTGAAACTCTGGCAGTGATTAATCTTCAAGCAAAAGTAGCCCCTTAACATACAGAAGCGAATCACTTACTATGCTCTAAAAAGAACGGATGTTCAGGTGACTCCATTAACCTTTCTGAAATGAAAAAGATAAAAACAGTACAAAAGACAGACCATTTATAAACAGATCTCAGCATAACCAACAATTTCCATTTCAAAAACAAAACAAACTATAACTGAAGATTTCACTTTTAGCCATTCCTATGCTAATTACTGTACTGGCAGAAAACAGACCCAAAAAGGCGATGTTGGAAAGAAGTTTTTTTTCGCGACCTAAATTCCGTATTCAAAGGGTTAAATATGTAGCATATCAAACGCAAGCTTCACTGTAACTCTAGAACAACAAAGAAGTGAAAATGCTTGGAGATTATCACCGTAAAATGTCCAGTATCTGTGTTTAGGGCCACCTCTCAGCATTTGAGGTTTCACAGTTGCCTTCCGACTTTTTCGTTCACATTCGAGATATGTTCAGGTTCACGAGTCCCAGCATGAACCACGACTAGTTAAAGAAGTATTTTTCCTTCTATTGCTCTGCGAGAAGTCCCTTATGTGCGAGGACTGTTCTAAGACAAATGTACACTTCCCCTGACCAGACGAACTGATAATTTTGTCGTGATAATGGCCTCCAACCACCTATTACTCCCCATGCTCTCCACCATCTATTTACGCTTTGAGCAAGTCACATGGGGTGTACATGAACTGAATCCTGCGTTTTTGCCTTTGCTATTCTGCATCCGTCACGGAGTTTTCCTGTTAAATTGCGTCTGCGCGACAAATTGAACTTACATGTAGGCGATCACGTTTGGAGCACGTGATCATGTGACATTTGAACTAGGTTTAGTTACACAATTCAGGAATTTTCTTTTTAGGGGGCGGGGGGAAAGGATTTTAGATATAAAAAAAACAATTTTCAAAAATCTCGGAAAGTTTAAACAGAAAATGAAAACTTGGAGAATTTGAATATTCACCCGACATTTTGGCAACATTTCAGAGGCAAAAACGTCGACAAAACGTTTTTGCTTACCTACCAAGAGACGAGCTCTCCGTCCGCTCACAAGCTACAGCAGCGTCTAGAGCACTGTCCTCTGAGCACAACAAATCAGATCCTGAAATATCCAAAAGACAGTTCATCATAAACAGATGTCAGCATAACCAACAATTTCCATTTCAAAAACAAAACAAACAACAGACGATTTCATTTTTAGCCATTTCCATGCTAATTACTGTACTGGCGGAAAACCGATCCAAAAAGATGTTGGAAAGAAACTGCGTTTTTCTTTTCTCGCGACCTAAATTCCATATTCAAAGGTTAAATATGTAGCATATCAACCCATGCTTCATTGTAACTCTACTGAACAACAAAGAAGTGAAAACGCTCGGAGATTATCACCGTACTGAATGTCCCGTATGTGTGTTTATGGCGCGCGTCTCAGCATATGAGGATTCACAGTTGTCTTCTGAATGTTTTAGTTCAAATTCGAGATATGTTCAGGTTGACGAGTCCCAGTATGAACCACTACTAGTTAAAGAGGTAATTTCCCCTCTACTGCTCTATGTGCGAGGACTTTTCTATGTCAAAAGTACACTTCCCCTGATCAGAGGAACGGAAAATTTTGTCGTGATAATCGCCTCCAACCACCTATCACTCGCCATGCTCTAGACTCAATCATTAATGCTTTGATCAAGTCACATGGGGGGGTGGTGCATGAATTAAATCCTGCGTCGTTGTGCTTGCTGTTCTCCGTCTGTCCCGGAGTTTTTCTAATACATTGCGTCGTGCGTGACATTTTTGGCTCACGCTTGGGGCATGCGGTCGTGTGACATTTGAACTAGGCTTTTGCTACATAATTCCGGGGGGGGGGCTCACGTTATCGTCCAACCTCATGGTTCTGGTGGTTTTGGAGTAGTATCTGTCCAGTTTAAGGTTTGGGCTCTCCATGTCCAGAGGGTTAGACGTTTTGTTACCTCTTTTTCATGCTGGATGCAATTCTTGTTCTACTATTGCCGCAAGGCCTTCGGTTCTTTGCCAGGTGGGGTTCTCTCACGCCGTTACTTTTATTGAGCTATTTTGAACAAATAGCTCATATGTCAGTGGTGTGAGCGTATGTATCTTTGTGGCTTTGTGGCTTTGTATCTTTGTGGCTTTGTATGTTGGGATGTTTGTTGCAAGAGCCAATAAGGTTGAAGGTACTATGAGTTGATGCCTAGGAACCAATGAGATCTTGGCATCTACTTAAACATGGCATTGCTAAAGGTCGAACAAGGGCACTTTGAGACCGCCATCTTGATTCTTGACAATTTTTTCGTCTTTTATTACGGCTACAGGTGTTGAGTGGAGTAACATGATATAAGTAGAAATATATTTCGGCAGTTTGATAATTTTCTTGGAAGTTAATAAATGTTAGGCTATCAACCTTGACGTTGCATGAAACATAATTTAATTGCAGATGTTATAACGAAGCCGAGATGATTTCTTAAAATCATTTGAGAAAATTTTGTAGTAAACAATTTGCCTTTTTTTTACGTACGAATTGTAAAAGGGCGAAAAACCAACATCTTCACGTGCAAATTGTGTGCGTGAGTTATTTTTATAATTCTCAGTGTTTACTAGTTTACTGTGTGATAACTCGAATTCCCTCACGTACGAACAACGAAAGGGGGCAAAGTCCAACACTTTCACGTGCCAGCTGTGTAACTGTACATCTCACGCAGATTGGCTTTTCACAATGATAAATAGTAACTTGGACGTATGAAGACCTGTTTCGTTTTGTAACCAATGCCTTAAAAAATCCTCTTGTCTTTTGAGAAGCAATAGCTTTTAAAACATGAAGAAATAAGTTGTCGGAGTTAAAGACTGTTTCACAGAGTAGAATCGCACGTGAAAACCTCGTGAATTATGATGATGCAACCATCTACCGCAATGATAAAAATCCTGGTATTTCGTAACTATTCAGTATTCGATGAGTCACATTTTGGCATAAGAAACTCCGAGGAAACCTTAGAGTTTTCCTTCTAATCAACGTTTGGTGAGTAGAAATTTATTTCACTTTAACGATTTGTTTAACTTGCACCAAATGTAACAGGGAAAGACAGAAAAAAGTGGATATATAGCTTGAGGATCGACTCAGCTGAGCGTTTAGCGTTTTCATTTATGTACCGTAATACGCAATTTCGCACAAAAAACCAATCTACATTTAGGATGAAAGAGGTAGATTCATCACTCTTGGTAAGGTTACACCGAAGCATTAAAGTTACACTGAAACATTCAAAATAGCTCATGCATGTTTAACGTGCCTATGTTGATCCATCGTCTTTGCCTCCGTTTTATCGCGGCCTTCTCTCCGCATGGGTCGGCAGTATGGGGTTTTTCACACGCGGGTTCTCCTCTTCCCTGTTCATTAACCCAACAGCTTTGACATGCTGCATGGTGGGACCCAATAAGGGCAAAACAGCTGTCTGTGGCTGTCACTGCCCGCGTGATATGGCTGAGCACATGTGTGGCGTACTGGTCTGGCCGTGCGTTGGTGTATGTGTGCCCCTTGCGTCAAGTTTGCATTGTTTCAATGCAATCGAATTAAGTTAGATCTATTTTTTATCAATTAGTGTATTTCGTGACATTTCTAAACAAATTTAACAGCGCGCGCGTATAGGTAACATCTTTGCTCGTTGGCACTTAGCGATAGCTATAACTAGTTTAATAGAAGCATATTTGTTATGTA